TATGTAAACGTTTGATTTCCCAATTTAAGAGATTCGCTAATAAAGCTTTTGTGTAGCGGGTCACAAGAAGGCAAGCATTCCGCATTTTCAATACCTTTGGTGCAATATTACTAAAATGAAATGTTGTCTGAAGCCAGAAAAACCACCTTCATTCGTCATTTAGCATTGCGTTAGGATTAACTGTTCAGTGATCAAAGCGATCTACGAAATGGTTGCAGATTCTGTGTTGGTTATTTTTTAAAAACCGACTTTCATTAAACTGGAATTGCAGTAATCGATAGTTTTCTAAGTGGTCGAGCTGCTAAGAGATTTGTATAAAGAGTTTTATCGGGATAAAGTTTCGGAGCTTTTACCTTTTTCAGAGTCGTGGTGATCCGAGTCGACAGTCCACAAAAATCCAGTTGAGGGAGCAACGCCCGAATGAGAAGCTTCACTTAGCGGAGCGCTTTTATAGAGAACATAGGTTAGTCGATTCTCACCATCCCATGTGATCCTGCATTTTGATGAGCATTGCGTCTTGATCAGTTAGTACTCTGTTTGCTCTATTGGTCAATTGTGCGTTTAGCGACTAGTTTCTGAAAGGTGCGGTGAAAAGCGCGGCGAATGAAGACATTTTGGTTCACTTTGTTTTTTTGTTATAAACCACGGTGACGAAACGTTTGTAATGAAGATACTTTGATACTTGTTACTTGAACGGCCCGTCCTCACTGGTTGTGCGGACCCCAGAATAATCACCGTTTCTCGGAGATTTGCTGGTTAAGCCATTGTGGCTCCCTGGAGCCCCGGGGTGAGCCTGGGCAAAGTCTGCTCCTGTAATGAAGATAAAGACATCAATGAAGAATTTTTATAATCTTGTAATGTTGAGTAACGTTAGTAGTTAAAAATGAATTCACATATATATACAGTTAACAATAAAGAGCCTAGAATTAGACGTATAACCCTTACGCAACGAAGTGACCTCTCTATAGAAGCAATATGATAAGAAAATTACAGCCGCTTTCAACTTTAAGCCAACATATCTTGGCTCATTGTGAACATTACCAGTTTAGATTAGAACTGTTAGAATCTGCAATCTTTGCCTGCAGGAAGGTCCTCTTGTTCTAATACAGTGAACTTTTCGTTTTCTGTATCTCACGGCCTACATTTCGTCCATTTTTTCCTTCAAGACTCATATTTCGGATCAGAATGCAAGTGAAGAAACGGAATTTCACAAAGTAAGACATGATGCTGTTCTCATTCGCAATCGTTATGCTTTCAGATCTCGCTAATGGGGAAGAAATTTTAAAACTTAGACTTCATTTTAGGCGCCCTGTAACACACAAGTGGAATCGATCCCGGAGCTCATGGCCCAGCACGCCATCTATCTCTCCGGGGTCGGCAAATCGACACCAGAGTTGTTTGCGAGGATAGCAGCACTGACTCGATCCATCGGTAGGCCACGGCAAGTCCATTGTAAAGGCAGACATGCGTTCAATCACCTCGAAACGATGCTTAATGAAGTCGAATGCATACCGCATCCTTTAGAGATTAGTCAGTACCGAGAGCTTTATCGTTTATCCTTTAGATTTCATTTTCAGTTTTTAGGAGACCCTGATTCGAAACATTCAGAGCTGAAATGACACTATATAAGAATTATCTATGCAACGATTGCGAAAGAGCAAAGTCGCTTCCTTGGATCAATACAGTTCCAAACTCATGAAGACCCCAATTACCGTTAATTATCGAAAAACCAGTTTCGTCGCGAAAATGTTAAAAAAATACTAAGCAACGAGAAATATGACTAAAATGAGATGATTATGAAAATGAACTGTGAAATGGATCTTTAGAGTTTTGTCCACACCACATCATAATATTTCTCAACCATCAGTCAATGAATCGAAGTATCTAAATCACAATGTCCTTATTGAGGTGAACTTCTAATACACATTTATTCCACGCGTTTGAAAGATTAGAAATTGATGAAAACCTTTTTTAGATTAAAGAACTATAGCATCGCAGTCCAACCATTTGTGACACACACGCCTACAAATAAAATGTGGAATGCAGAGTTCCTACAGAGCTAGTCGAATACCGGTACATACAAGAGATTATTCTCACGTTTTCCTCAACAGTGAGGTTTTCCCTTCAGCCCCTGAGTTATGAAAATCTTCAGGGGATGCTGCTTTTAGTTCTCCTATCAATATTGCAGATACACTACAAGAATTATCGAGATCTACAATGAGGCACTCCTTCCCGATTTAAAATCGAGCTCTTGATTTAGAGAATTCCGCTTTTTTTATCGTTTTTATCCGTTTCGCCTTTAACCAGCATAGACTTTCCCAAGCTCTCATCGCCGTCTAGATCGTGAGAAACGTCGGAATGGAGCAGATGACGTGAAATCACCATCTCCACTGGATCCACATCTGTCCCCGTTCCTCGTGAGCAATGATCGCCATCACTGGAAGAGTTTAATTTGACAAATCATCGTAAAAAAATTAACAAAGAGGCAAATGTGAAAAGAAATTGTGTCAAGCATAGATTTCAGTTCCACTTTTTGTATGCATCATGTCGAAAAATAAGAAATTTATGAGCTTGAGCAATTGAACTGGTCAACTCCCATTCGATAGCGCAAAGTGCAAGCAATGAATTTGGCTAGCGGTGAGATAAAGGAGATACAGCAGAAGGTTAGTAAAGGTTCAGTTAGCATGCCTTAAGCTGAAAGTCTCCTAGTATTCTTACCAAAGACGGGAACAAAGCGCTTCAATTTACGAGAAGAATTTCTGAGTGAGGATTTCCTTTTATGTGGACCATGAGTTGTTCATTTGAATTCATACCTGACCTCATTCATCGAGGTGAACGATAGACAAAGGAAAAACTCACAGTTTTTCTTCTACACGAGTGTTTTCTGAGCACAGTTGATGAGTCATTGCGTCTCGGATTTCCTGAATACATTGTTTGTGAGTGTTTATGTGTTAATCACTATCCGACTAAACTTTCGGAGTTCATCTTTTACTGATAGTATAGAATTCATCAGCGCTCGGGCAGCACAATGGTAGTGATCCGATCCTCATCACTACGCAGACGGCCCAGCCTTAGCAATGGTTCTAACCTGCCTTGGGCCCATCAAGACTTTCACCTCTCCGAGATCGGGAAACTGGTACCAGCCTTATCCATGACAAGCTAACTCGCTCTTATCTATGCGGAAAGCGCTTTAGCGCGGTTGTCACAGGGCCTCAGGGAGAACCGGTTAGACCACCATTCAATTTACGACGAAGACGAAAAAATCCTCAGGCAACTGTCGATTACATGCGCAAAAAGTTTGATGGCATTCAACGATGGTCGTACTAGGAAACGAGTCGCATGGAAGAAGTACTAGGATCCGCACAATCCTATATATGCGGTGTCGGGTCATGTAATAATAATATGATAACAGAAATCGTTTACGTGGGATAATTTCCAGCAATTTACAGTCAGCATTCTTTAGCAGAGAGAATGAATGACAAAGCATTGGCACTTATACGTTAGACGCTTCTCATGCATTCGACTCCATTATTGCTTATATGCGAACTTGGCATCCATAGACGTCATAAAAAAGAGATAAAGTTCTCGGCGTTGATCAATTCCTAAGGAATGCGCCATGCATTCGACTCCATTAAGCATCGTTTGGAGGTGATTGAATCCATATCTGGCCTTCAGTGCCGCTATCCTCCCTGACAAGTTTGGTATCAATTTGCATACTCATAGGGATGGAAGGATCGGTGGGCCATGGGCGCGCATTTCAATTCCACTTGTGTCGCAGAGCGCCTCCGGCCACTGCGCCACACGCCCACCTATAGGAGTCATTTAATATGAAAATCATGGCTGCTTTCAATTTTAAACCAACACAAACATCATACTGAAACTTGTTAGTTCAATAAAAAGCTCTAGAATCTTTGAATCTTCTTCTATAGGATAAACGCCCTCTTGGTTGAGCATGATGGAATTCTAATTTTTTGGAGACCGTGGCGCATAGTTCATCTACTTTATTGCTTCAAAGACCATATTTCGAATTCGAAAGCTAATGAATAGGCAGCATTTCGCTTTGCTTGACGTGGTAGTTTTCGCCAACATATCGTTTACCTTTTCAGCAGCCGCTCAATCGCTAGAAATTTTAAGGAACGCAACTTTCGCTGTCAATTTTTTGGAAGTTTCCAGAAGATTCCAAAAAGAAAAAAGGAAAGGTGATATATAAAAATTACACATGCGACTAATGCAATAGAGCAAAGTCCTTCCTATAATCTCTAAAGCTACAATTTCCTCAAACACTCAAGTGAGAACAAGCTTCCTCGGAAAAGAGTTAAGCACTGCAACATAGGCTGAATGTATAGTTCGTCTATGCAATGGCTTCTGAGAAAACTACCGATGAATGAAGACACTGTTTTTGTCTTCCCAGACAAGTCGTTCACCAATTTGTCAACCCAGGAGTAATGGTACGCTTAATCCCAGGCACTAAGTTAAACCTACGACCACGACTGTATTGCGTGACATCACTAGCTAGTGCAATGCATCTAGCAAGACTTTTTGAAATTTGATTGCAATTTTACCTTTCCTATTCTAAAGATGTTTACTGCTTATCAGACGTAGCGCAATTTTAGTGAAGCTAAACTGTACGTAAGTTTGGAAAGAACCAAAAACACCACTGCTAGTTGACCTCGTAATAAAATAAAGGAGAACAGGAAATGGTTAAAAGTGTCATAGTGCTTGTATAATATTTTACGGCTTATTTTTATCTTCGTAAGCAACCAATTTTTGATTCGTGGAATCCAGAAGAGGTGGAAGCATTGTTTGACACCGCCATTTAAACCGTCAATGGCAATCAGTGAAAAACCATAGTAAAACCCTAGCTCCCTTACAGTTGACGCTTCAGTCAATTACTATTTTCCATTAACGAATTATACCCTTTCGAAGATGCAGTATGAATTTGCGCTATTCAGTGATTTTGTAGAGTACTGATTTTTACTATCTGCACTTTTCTCACTTATTTAAACTTGGGAAGCTGTCAGAATACGTTGCAAAAAAGTACTTGCCGCGTTGCAGGTGATGTAGACGAACAACCTCGTAGCGCATACTAGCACGTACAAGACTGAAATCACGTCCGTGCAGAACTCGTAAATCTGGAAACAGCTATGAAACTACTGAACAAGCAGTTTGAAGTAACACAGAATGCGAACCACGTATGCTTCCTGTGTTTGCGTGGATTGGAATGCAATATACTCCCATAGGGTGATGAGCACGTTCAAGACGTTAGCGATTAGGTACGAACACACGATCAAAACCAGAAGCCTTGTTGCTGATCGAATCTTCCTCTGAAATCAATCTTGCAACGAAATATAATTAGGCATCGTCTTCCGTACCATTGTAAATGTAAAGGACTGGTAATGTGTTCGTAACGTTCATACAAACAATAAAGGAGAATGAAGTGCTCGACGATGACCTCTGTCTCACATATGTACCATGAATCTGACTGCATTCGTAGCAATGTAGAGCTCACTAAATGCATATTTATACTACGCAATGACTGTGCGGGCCCACTGATTTGCCAAGTCAGTATTTTTTGTCCTCCCGGAGTAATCTGGTACAAACCTACCAGAGTGATAGCGGTATCAGTGATCCCAAAGCGTGGAAATTATATATCTTTTTGTGCTATCGAAAAAGCCTTGCTTTGCAATCCAAGTCCCTGAAGTGATGAACGGCTTGGTTAGCCTAGGATGCCAGAAGAAGTGAGCAATATTGCACTTTTTACACGTATTTTCTAACCACTGCGCTACATGCTCTCAGGGTTAATATACTATACAGCAATTTTTAATTGCCTTAAGCTTATAAATTCACTGAGAAGATTAATGAATGGAATGGAGGAAGGAGATGAAGTGAATGTGAACTGTCATGACATGGGCAGAGCCTTTTATAGATGAACAATAAAAAACGTCGTATATTGTTGATGTCTCATCAAATTCGAAGAATTGCAATACTCGGAGGATTCATTTTATGGTATTCGGTGTACCTCACCATTTTGATGATCTTACTTTTTTGTCGAATATTAAGAACAACTACAGTTCACCGGACAGGTTGACAACCTACTACCACCGCATAATCACTGCCGTCAACCATCAGCATCCTACACAAAAGTGCATCACCGAGTGAGTATGCCTCATTCGAGAAATAGTCCGCTGATGAAGACACAACCCGATACAGAAGTGAAGGCGCCACATCGGACAAAGAGGAACGGTGGACTATCGGCTCGGATCATCGGCTGTGATAAAGACGAATAGGTTGAAACGCTAGCCAAATAAAAATTATTTATCAACCTCGTGTAAGCTCATCAGAGAAAGAATACAAGCTGCTTAGTAATACTGAGGTTAGAGGAAAGTTGGTTTTGAAACATTGTAGGGTTGTGTTGATAATGAGAGACAACAATTATCGGAAGGTTACTTTATCAGTAACTGTTTTACCATTATTATACTGTTACATGAGTAGACAATACATGTAGTCTCACTCTACGGATCTCAGCACATCTTGCAGTCGAATGCTCCCTCTCACCCATCATCAACGAAGGTTTCCGAAGTTTTGGGCTGTGGGTTGGGTTGTTGCTTGAGATTTTTTGGTCTCCTTTGTGAATGTAGTTGTAAGATGGTCAAGCCGATTCTCCTTGCAGTCATGGCATAGCTACCAGAGAATTTGCACTTGACTCGGAGTGAGCTGATCCTGGTCAGTTCTGATACCAATTTCTCGGCCCGTAATGTTAGGTGGCTTAGTGGGCGCGATGCTCGTCTAAACTAAGACCGTTCTGGTGATCAAAGGCATTGCTCTACCACTGCGCTTCCCTATCCTTAGCCCTTGTTCTCTTATATTAAGGCTTCAAAACGAAAAAAATTTCTAGAAAGTTCTTATAAAAACGGCTGGATAGCACCTTGTGATCGCTCGCTATTCGGAACAGTTTCGCCGTTCGATGTTGCTTCCGCAGTGTTCTCACGATACGGTAGTTGAGGTAGGCGAGTAGAAAGAACGGCAAGAACACAGTCATGATGTTCCTACAACGAATTACATTACTGACTCACATTCTATTTTTTATAAAACACAGACGACAACTCGCTATCCGTGGGAGGAAATGTGCTTTCCAAGTTGTTGTAAAGCGAATTGTTCTTCTCCTTTACTTGCAACGTTAGACAAGAAATGCTGCGTGTTTAACATTGCACACTCCGCATAGAGGAGGAGCAGGATACCAAAGCACTAGCTCGGAATATTTTTCAGGTTTTTTGAATAAACACCAAGAGAATAATATGAATAGAGGGAAGAATGCCCAAAGAGGACACGTGATCTGTCTGATGTCCTCGAATCGGCTTTCTTAGCTTCCGGGCGCTTCCGACCACTGTGTCACGCGCGCCCTTAACTATATTACATTTCCATACAGCATTCCCACAGGTTCATGGTTGCCAGAAGTTACTTCGTGTGGATCTCCTGTTATGCAGATATCCTCGGTGGAAGGCACGCAAAAAACGGTGGGTTTTTCGAGAAGCTGTTGGTTATGTGGTTACCTTTCAGATTTTCATTTTTCTATTTGTGTTATTGAAGAGTTTAACGTAACTGTTTGAGTATCAAGATACCCTTGCAGGCTCTGAGGAAAGCGACACTACTGAAACGTCAGCTTAACCGGAGTAAAGAATGAGGCAATACTTCATGTTTGTCGAGCAAGGATATCGAGGATCATTTGATTAACGCCGAGATTAATAAAGGTCGGTAGTTAGAATTTAGCACTCCCATGTTCCTCTGCTTTCCACTTCTATATTGATGAACTACTTCGTATCCGCTCTTCTTTTAGCAGGAACCACTGAGAAAATACTGAAGTTTGTTAGGAGATTGTCAGTCGATAAGTAGAAATCGATGCTTTCGAATTAGGTTAAAATAAGGGACCATCAAAAAGAAGTGGGCGTAGAACAACACAAATGGATGATGAGACAAAAAACACTGCAATGACCTCCTTTCTAATCATAGAGCACGATAATTCTCACCTGATGTAAAAACGAAACACGGTGCCATACCACATTGTGTGCACGATTTCCGTCAAACCTGGGACGTACTCTGAGATACCCGTACAGTCGCCGTTTTTATCCAACTGGAATAGCAAGGCGCTTAACTTTCTTCTCTCTTAACTTCGCTGAATATCAACCTATTCAGCAGCTGTTCATTGTTGCTTTTACGCGCTTAGTAGATAAGCTCATAATTTTAATTTTTTCACTCTTACCACAAGGTTTTCGCTTATCTTTGAGTTAATTTAGATCTCTTATCGCCGCTGTCACTTCGGCTTTTTGGTGTCAATACTTTCATGCAGTAAAAACAAAGGCTACAGGACGAAAGACTGTAACGTTGATGAACGTGAATGGGAATAGTGTATAACGTGATTAGCGAAATAATGGACAAGTCGCCGAAGATGACATTGGCGAGCTGTCAGAGTGACATTACCGATGCTTACATGCTTCAGCTTCTGTTTGTGTCTCATTCACTTTTTTACTTCAACCGCTATGACCCGCGTACGTTTTCCGACAACAATGAGTACATTGGTATGGCTAGAAACAATGTTGTCTTCTTAATTAGTGAACGACTCCAGCAATACTTCATTCTCTCGGATGTTTAGGAATGACTGAAGCTACTTCGTTCAAGAGGCCAAGCCAAATTTCGAAACTCGATAAGCGGTGTTTTTTTCCTCGATGTTACGTCGTTAGTGTTTACTTTAGATGAAAACGTCATTAGAATGAACTATTAAGAATTTCTATGAGCGCCTAGTGCCTTTTTGGTTTCCAAATACTGCACAAGGCTAAAAGATTTTCTCATGCGTTTATTAGCGATTTCGTCTTCGAAACGGAAAGTGTCGACGGCTTTCACGAGGGCACTCGAAAAAGCATTTGATGGCGTCTTTTCGCTCCCAAAAGTGGACAAAATCACTAGGAGCTTAGTTCGGTGCTAAATTTAATTTAAATTAGCTCGGGCGTTAAACAAGTAGTAGGTATACCTAAGTTCACTGAACATCTCTGGCATTTATGCGTCAAAATGGGACCTTTCCGCCCTTGATATTCGATGAAATCGGAATTGGTTTCTGCACAAGTTCGGAGTGGAGGGCAGCATTCACTTTATAGTGGGTTCCTTCATTTCAGTGTCGATCCTCTTAACGTCCTAAACGTCTGAAAATTGAGCGTTCTCCACGATTTTAAGGATTCCACCTTTCTTCCTCGTCTTAAATTGCACTTATGCCTTTGGAATTGATTAAAAGAGCAATTCATTTACTCACTGAAAGATTTCATTACATTACAGAGAAAGTGGAAGACTTAGAGAAAGCGTATAGTGTGTGAAGGTGTTTTGTTTCCAATGCGATTGGGATCTAAGTATTATAAAACCATAGGTTTTTCCATTGAGGTTATGGGGATGTATAGCTGATTGTGCTGCTCTCAACTTGACCTTTCCAGGCTCTGCAGGAGGCGAAATCCGTCGAAACATCAGTTTTTGAGGCTAAATAAATACTGTAGTAAATAAAGTTTTAATAAAAAATAAATAGTACAGTAACGGCATTGCGTGTGCTTATCATGGAAACAGCGATGCTCATTATAGGTGCTCATCAGTGCTCATTATAGGAACAAAGAAATCGCTATCGGTCTCAAGGCGAAAATTTCCGTTCCAGTCTGTTTGTTCATACTTCATAACAGTGCAAATATTTCCCGACACAATTAAATCGAGTCTGATTTACAAGCTCAAAAGTTCTAGAAATAAGTTATGGGCTCTTTCAGAGAAAAAAAAGACGTTCTTACAAATTCTGCTAATAGCACTAGTTTCCAAAGTAAATCTAAGTGTGGGCAAAGTGAGTTGAAATGCGCCTGAAAGGATGATCCGGTAGAATTTATGAATTTTCAAAACAGAAGAAGAGGAAAGAGCGGCCAATAGGGTAATAATAAAAAAACTTCCAGAAAGTTTAAACTGCTTTAGTAGAGCTAACGACGAAAAAGGAATGTGCAATGTTAAACTTTATTCAAAACTAGACTAGATCTAGAGGAAGAGTCCTCTCTCAACGCTCACCAATACTTAATGCTTTATAGAAATGGTCAAAGACATAGTGAAGATTCACGATGCTCAGAGGTCACTGTCGCACTGACGGATGAGAAATCAACTGCACCATCAGCGGTGATCGTGTACGAAGAAGGTCCAATGGCACGATCCGCCGTCATGAATCAAAGGACTGGTTCTATCACTAGTACATCACCACTTTCATCACTAGAATTTCATCATTTCTTTACCCAGTTTTATTGAAAAACACTACAATGCGTACCCATAACGTTTAGTCTCAAGTGCGCTCCATGACACAATGCTTCCACGTCCATACTTTCTTTCCGAACAATTCATTGACACATTTTTTAAGACCTAGAAATGACGATTCTTTGTCTCCTTTCTTTTACTCTGGGCGACGTAGAGCTGTTGGGCAAGATGTTCTTCTGCCGACGAGGTGATCAGTTGCGTGAATGCGATCAACTGCCACTACACTGCGAATCCAGATAAATTCGACTGAGAAGACATAGATTTCAGATATCCCGAAATGTGTGCGTTCGCAGTAAGGTAATTAAAGTGCAGTCAGAAAACGGCTTAGAAGGACTTAGTTTAACAGCTGCTCGTACTCTTAGAGCTAACGGGCCGGGAAAGTAATCGGATATCTCTAGCACTCATATTTCACTGGAAACTACTGCAAAAAGAGGAAGGCAGCTTGAGAATTGAAGAAAGTGCAAGAGACAAAATAAGTTGCATAATCATGAACCAAGTGAAATATTCGAATCAGAAATAAGATGAAAACGAATGATGAAAAATCGAAACCCGATTTGATGCATTCGAAATATTCGATATTTGATAGCCTTCATAGACTTTCCTCACCGTAAGGACTACAGTTTTTTCAAATGAGTTTTCAGTTAACTAGTATGTTACTAGTAGAGTTTTCCCAAAAATCCTAGGATAACCGTATCAGAGCGTTTCCACTTCGTCGCCAAACTGGGACAATCGTATCAGAGCCTTTCCACTTCGTCGCCACAGGTCAGGTAGTCACACTAGTTCATACAGCTCAGGAAAATCTTTCGCTTAAGTGCCAATATTATTTAGGAATAACAGGAAAAACTCCCCCATTGTTCAAATTTTTGGAATTTGCGACGAAAATTTTGATCTTGTCAACCTGGGTGACTCAACTTTGAAGGTGAATTCTCAGCTCGTCGCAGTAGTTCAGTGCTAAGAACTGGTTAGCTTTAGCGTGTTGTCGCATGGCGATGCGATAATATTGATAAGAGCCCGTTGGTTTTTTCCATTAATAAACTGACCTGAATTTCAAACATAAGGGTTCCTCGAAGTAGAAGTGAAATCAGAAACATGACGAAGGCCATGAAACCACGATTTCTGCGGAATCGCTTCAGACACTTGGACCGTTGAGTGATGAGGTAGCGCTCAGTGGTTGCCAACATGATCAGGTAGCAGGAAAACGTCATCGAGACCTTTAAACGAAGACGTTCATTACAGAAAAAACTTAATTCTCTTCGTGTTGAAGTACATAATTGGTGAAAATTTTATAATGATTAATAGGTTGACAGCGATGTAATGAAAGGCATAAAAAATTTCTAAAAATCAAAGGCTGTCCACGTTTGGTTTCTTTTCACAGTTTTTCCACAGCCTTAATGTGTCCTAGTGGATGAGATTCCTGATGAATTTTTAGTTCGTCCTCTGGTACATAACATAAATATGAAGGCAATCTACTCAGTAGTTGTATCCTTTCCTTTCAACTGATGTCCACTCTATCAGCACCCATAGTATTCTGCTTGTTTTCTTGCTCCGATTGATAACAACATTACAAATAAGGGGCATGTAGCAGGGTGACTAGAGCTGCCCAGCAGTGCAAGCGTCGGGTCTGGTTCCACCTCGCGGTTCGTGCTCACGAAGCCTTCCATCTCTCCGTGGTCGGGAAGTTGCTACCAGACTAGTGTAGTAGGATCAAAATCAAAATCAAAAGTAGGAATTGATACATCGCGAAAAAACCTATGAACCAAAAATGCTTTGAATGACCTCTACAAAGTCGAATGCATGGCAGCTCACGGCAGTGGTTGATCAACGTCAAAACCTTTATATTTTCTATGTCGACTATACTTGATACTTGTTACTTGAAGGGTTCGCCCTCACTGGTTGTGCGGGCCTCAGCAAATATTCCACTTTTTCGGATTTTTCCTGGTTTAGCCATTGTGGTTTTCTAGACCCCTGAGGTCAGTCTCGTCAAAGTCTGCCCCAGATCGTTACCACCCCAGGCAGTCACCGCCGTTATGGATCAGAGGAAGATTTGCCACCGTGAAATTAGTTTGTTACCAGAACGGTGGTGGATCCTGGTATTGGCTTACTTTTAGCTGGGCTTCCTGATGGGAACGTCGGACCCTCTCAGGCTGATTTTTTGAAGTGACCATGGCATATTCCTCACCCGTATAAAACTCTGTGAGGTTAGTCTCCAATAATAACTAGAGGACATAAGAATGACGAAACGGTGAGTGTGTAAAAGAAGTCGTTCACTATACGGATAAAAAATATACCCGTTGGGTCGTATCTACTGAGATTATGAAAGTGTTCGGCTGAGTAGATGGCGTGTTAATTGACCGCTCCAGACTCTTAAGAAGCGAAGCGGCCGAATACGACAGCAATTTTGTATGAGTAAATGCCGTAGTAACGACCTGGTGTTTGCCCATCAAGAAGAACAGGAAACCTACCCAGTTATCGATGTTAGGACAATGTTTCGACACACAATTTCGAATGTTCAGTGGTTTCCAAGGAAGAAAAGTCATTTCAAGTGAGATAAGTAAGTTTTGGATTTATGGAGAAAAAATCCTGGTTTTATTAAACAGAGTCGTTACCTGACAAAGTGACAAAAGTGGACCAACGTAGTACCAGTAGAACCTGGTGAGCCAGAGAACCTCAAACAGTAAAACATACGAGTATGCTCAAATAAATCCATGGAATAATTCATATGTGGAATTCGGAGAATTCTGCTTTTAGTCTTACGTTCATATTTAACCCTTACGTGACGAAGCTTTTTGTTTGTTTGGTTGATAACCCCGGGTAATCCCATCACATCATGCCTTAAGGAATTCTGCCGGTTCACTAGCTCTCACTTTCAAAATATAAGTTTTGAAGCAAAAAACTGGAAGAATATATGCCATGGACACGACGTAATCTGAACTACATTGCGATGAAACAAGAGAGAATTTACCCTGCATGTAAATTAATAGATTTTAAAAGCTTTTACTAAATTAATGAAATCTACTACGAGCTGAAAAATGCTGGTCCAAAACTGAAAGCAAGCATTATGTAATAGTTCCCAGGATCGACTTTCTCTTAACCTCGGCATTGGAATATGAATGTGTCGTTTTCTTGCTCAGCAATCGCG